AACACAGGGACACGAATCAACCCAGGAGATGCCAGGGAGGTGTGAGAGAGCTCATTGGAGGGGACCCTGGCTCCCCCCCCAGCCTGATGGGACCTGTTCTTCTCAGCGGCTCATTCCACGACCCCTTTCTTGGCCACAGGTCCCACTCCTCTTCTCCTGACACCGTCCTCTGGGACACACTGCTGTTGAACATCTCCCCCATCTCCTCTCCTGCCAGCTCCCCCTGGACACCCCTTTCTTTGTGAGAGTCCCCACCAGGACCCTCCTGCCTGGGAGCCCTGGAACTGCAATGTCTGGAAGGTGTCACCCACCGTGAGGTGCCACCTACACCTTCCTAGGTGCACCCTCAGGGACTGCTCTGTCCCCGCTCTCCCTCACTGCGGAGCCAGGTGGCTGCTGTGGTGGGCAGGCTCAAGGGCTCGGCTGGGCAAGGTGGCTGCTCCAGTGATGCTGCCCAAGACCCGAGTGGCTCTGGAGAAAAAGAGGACGGATTGGACAAGGGGAACCAAGGCTGGATGTGGAGCTCCTCTGCCAGGGGCTGTGACACCAAGTGGGTGAGAAACGCTGGTGTTCTGGGTGCTGTGCTTGTGGATGGTGTCGAGCATCCCAGATGCTGTGGTGGGCCCGTGGATGGATGCTGAGCACCCTGGGGGCCTTGGTGCTCCTGGATGGGTGCAGAGGGCTCTGGGTGCTGCCGTGTGCTCACAACCAGGCTCAGGAACCAGCTCCCTGTGCAGATCCTGCACCCAGGCAGACGGTGAGACACAAGGGGTGATGGAGGAACGACTGCACAGGGTTGGGCATTGTGGGCAGGCAGAGAGGGACTCAGAGGAACAGGGTGCCTGATGTGCTATTGCTGCCATGCGCTCCCTCTACCCACAGCCACACTGGAGGGGAAGGATGCTGAGAGCACCCAAAACAGGAGGGGAGGGAAAGGGGGCAGGAAAGGGGAGAGCTGGAGCATGTAGGAATGCTGGAAGATGGAAAGTCCAAGGTTGGTGGAGAGGAAAGAGATGGTAAGAGGTCTGGCAGAAGAGAACTCCAAATCCAAGGCCAAAGACATGGGAAAACAGGCTCCTACAAACACAGGAAAGCTGCTGGACAAGGGGCTGGGTGCCGAGCACAGCAGCTGGGGCAGCAGTGCCACCAGCCAGGGAGGGGCTGGGGAGGCGCTGGCAGCCCTGCGCAGCGCACGGCTCCGCTAGCGCTGCTCCACGCACAACACACGGCGCTTGGGCACAGCAGGGCACAGCGACAGCGAACATGGCGGCAGAGCACGGCCGAGATGGGGGGAGGCAGCGAGGGGACGGTGCCCCGAGGGGAGGCAGTGGGTGCTGACCCTTCCCACGGGAGGACGGGTGTCGAGAGGCGACACACTCTGGGGACACGGGATGCAGTGCAAGCCTGCAGCTCCACCGGCTCAGGGGAAGCCACAGAACCCATCTCCAAAAGCTTGGGACAGGGCTGTGGGGGCACCTCGTGGTTTGGAGGGGTTGGCGCCGTCTGGAAATCCTCTGGCTCGTGGCGGCGACACACAGATGCTTCCTGCCCGCGACAGGTGCAGGAGTACTGGCCTTGCCTCTTGTCCCAGAGACTCCAGCAGAATTCTGTCTGCAGCCCCTGCAGTTCCACCATTGCACCCTCTCCCACTCCCCCTCGGAGGCAACAGGGACCAAGCTCAGCCTGGGCCACGTGTGTCCCTGCCCTGACCCCCCCCGACTGCTCTCTGCCCGTCTTGGCCGCAGGCAGCAGCCCCGCACAGCGCAGGGAAGGACGGGGGGGTGAAGGCGGCCGGAGGAGCTGGGGATGCAGCACTCTGCCAGCGAGTGTGCCAGGACCCGGCTGCATGCACACTCCCTCCCTGCGCCGGAGCCCCCTCCCACTGCAGCCCCCCTGGGTCCGTGAGCCCCTTCATGGGGAGATGCAGCCGAGACGGAGGCAGCTGTGCCAGCCAGTGGCCGCCAGGAGAAGCCAGATGATGCTGGGTGCCCTGCGGCCCCGCTTACCGCTGACGTCGAGGTTGTACTTGGCCACGACACTGCCCATGGAGCTGGTGGCCGTGCAGACGTAGGTGCCGCTGTCGCTCTTGTTGAGGAAAGGGAAGATGAGGACGCTGTCGGAGCTCAGCTGCAGAGGTGCGTCACTGCCCTCCTTCTCCCACAGGAACTCCTGGGGGCTGTGGAGTGGGATGGGGGGGTGAGGCTCTGCCGTCCTCCCCAGCACGCGGCGGGGGAGCTGGGGCAGAGTGGGGGCCCTAGTTAGGCAGCAGCAAACGTGTGGGAGTGTTTAAGCAGGAGGAAAATATCCCATTTAGAGATGAGCCGGGATGGATTGGCTGCTCCGGGGAGAGGACAGGGGCTTTGCTTGTTCACAGGGTGCCTGGCCCTACCTGACACGGATGCAAGGCCAGTGCCTGGCCCTGAGCGCACACAGTGCTGCCGGCAGCGCCCTGCCCGGGCTCCAGGGAGGGCTGAGTGGTGGGTTTGGGAGCCTGGCAGCGGGGGATAAGCAGGGCAGGGCCTGGCAGGGCTGAGCAGGAGGAAGGCAAGGAGGGCTTACATGGGGTTGCCCTGCCCATCACACTGCAGCTGGAGCTTCTCGCCTTCCCGCGGGTACTGGGGATGCGGCTCAATCTTCGCTGTTGGCTTGTCTGGAAAAGGAGAGGCACAGCTAGGTGACTGCCTGTCCCTGCCCCATCTCTGTGTGATCAGGGGCCTGCAGGCACCCCAAACCCCTGCCTCAGCCCTATCTCTGCGTGAGTGCACCTGTGGGTGGTCGGGCGGACTGGGGTGGGCGTTGACACTCTGGGAGTGCAGAGTTCAGCTCCCACATCCCTCACCCTGTCATCGCAGGGGCCGTGCAAGACAAGGAGGTGGCACAGACGAGTCTCAGGGAGATGGGGACAGGGACAGGCAGAAGAAGCCACGGGTGTGCACACGCAGGGGAAGCATCACCGTGTAGTGCCCCTGCGTGTGACGGGACCCCTGCGCATGCAGGCTGGTGAGCCTGTGGGCAGGTATGTGCCATGGCTGTATGCACGTGTAAACGGGCTGTGTGTGGGATCTCTGCTGAACTGTGGTGGTGCTGAGGCCTCCTCCACCTCTCCCACCCCGCTACAGCCCTGTGCCATCGTCCCCATGTGATACATACAGTGGACCTGCAGCTTCTGTGTGGTCGACCTCTCGGAGTTCTGCAGAGACTCGTGGTCCACGGTGCAGGTCACCTCGGCTTCGTTGTCCTCCTTGGTGACACGAAACTCCACCCGACTGCTCACGGTGAAGGTCTTTCCGTTGGGGTCCTCCACCACCTCGGTGCCCTCATCTGTGGGGACAGGGTCGTTAGAGCTGATGGACACAGTATGCCAGCAGAGGCATGAGGCTGACACGTGTGTTGAGCAGGGGACACTCTATTCCCATCCCCTTGTTGGTGGTAGCATAGGACACCAGTGTGGTCCAGCACCAGGCGCATCCGCAACCCCTGCCCCACCTGCCTCCGAGGTGTTTCTCAGTCATTCCGGTCTCTCAGGGGAGAGCCCCACTGCTTGGGCACCCACCCGTCAGCTCCTTGTTGCCCTTCTTCCACCGGAGCTGGGCCGCGGGCTTGCTGCCAGAGGACCGACAGGTCAGCCGGGCTATCTTCTCCTCATCAATGGGCTGTTCGTGGCCAAAGATCTGGGGTTTCTGGGGGATTCCTGGTAGAGGAGGAGACAAGAAATATAACAGCCTATTAGCTATGTGTGTGCTACCAGTCAGAGACAGACAGACACACAAAGACACGTCAATAAACACGGCAAGGGTGAGTTAATGGGCAGGGATAGAGGAGCAGCAGGATGAACGGCTGTACGACAGCATCCTGCAGTCAGATCAGGAGCAGGTGGGGGGCTGCCGCCAGTGGCTTACCCAGCACGGTGACCAGGGCCTTCGCAGTCCGCACGGGCATGGTGAAGATGGAGCAGGTGTATTCCCCCTCATCCGACAGCACCACGTCACTGATGCTGATGGTCAGCTCGTTGGGTGTGGACCTCTCCAGCTGGATCCTGTTATCTCGCAGGGCTGGGGGAAAAGGGGCAACAGGGTGAGTGACAGGATCAGTACCACCACGCTCCTCCACTAGCTCCTGCTTTGCCCAGTGGCATCCGTGTAGGTGGGGAGCAGGAGGGAACATCACCCTCTGGGGCACTACTGGCCCTGGTCCGCTTCCCCTCTGCCTGCCACCGCCCTGGCCCCGAGCTGGCTCCTCTCCCATCCCCAGTGCCTGCGCATGTACCTCGTTTCTCCCCGAAGTAGAGGGTCTGCTGGGCAGGGTTGGACCACTGCAGCGAGGAGTCATCAGGATCCTCCACCTGGCACTTGAGCACCACGGTACCACCAGCCACCACAGTCTCGTCTGATGTCGTGGGCTGGCTCTCTGGACACGGACAGGAGAGGTTAGCGTGGGCCCTGGGCATCACCTCTCCCCAGGTACGCACAAGCACCACTGAGCAACCAAGGGAAGGGAGGAAGGAACACACCAAAACCCCTGGGACAAGTAGGGCTTCAGGGCTGGGATGAATACAGCTTGCTTGGAACATTTTTTCCAGCTGAGCCCATGACCTGGATGGCTACACAGGCTGGGTCACCTGGCTCAGCTGCTCTGGGCACAGCACGGAGGGGCACAGGAAAGAGGATCAGGCGTTGTCAGAGGTCTGGCTGGATCCAGGGAGACCGTCAGCGCGTGCCAGGGTGTACATGTGCATATCCAGGAGCGTCTGCACAGCCCCTTGAGCATCTGCTCAGGGCTGCGGCCCCTCTCCAGGGACAAGGGGTTTCTATCACACAGGCACCAAGGCTTGGAGTGCAGCCGTCCTGGGGACAAAGGGGACCTGCTCAAGGGCACATGTCAGCCTGGGTCTCCCACTGCAATCCTACTCCCCAGCAGGGAATGGCCCCACTACAGCTGCAGAGGCAAGGACCAGTGGGCAGGATCCGTCCTGCCACCTAACCTGCAGCACTCGCCAGGACGCTGCTGTCCCCAGGCAGTAGCTCCATGACAACCTGCACAGAGACACCAGCATCAGGCCTGGCTCCGAGCACAGCCCCTGGGGCTGCTGGAAGATACAGGCAGCTGGTGCCCACAGGTGTGAGCGGATCCAGGCAGAAGTAGGGCTATGCCAAGAGGCAGCAGGAGACTGGCACAGGCATGGGCTGAAGGCACCTGGGGAGGCAGCAAGCTCTGCTCCACTGCCCTGGCCATGCCAGCAAGCTGGGGCTTGCACCCGGGGTGTGCCTGTGCCAAGCACCCCACACAACTGGATGCTCTGCCGGCCACCTCCACCCCTGCCTCCAGCAAAAGCATCCGCGACCCGTTGAGTGTGGCCTGTGGGGCGCAGCCAGTGACCAGCTCTCCATGTCGTTCCTTAAGGGGATTTCTTCCTGCTCCTGCTGCTCCTGGACTGTGCAAGTCCCTTCCCAGACTTCGTTTCCCCAGCTAAGACATTGTCCTTCACTTCCTTCAGGCTCCTTGCAGGGCTCCATGCTGCCAAGCAGCCCAAGGGCAGAGAAGAGCAGCAACAGGATCAGATAACCACCCTGCCTGTCCCAAGGACAGCTATTTCGGGAAAGCTGATGTGCCAGCGACCTGAGCAGCACAGGGAGGAGGAGGACGACACTGGCTCTCCCAGCCTGGGGGCTGCACACCCTCCTCACCCAGCTGGGTCCACAGGCAGACACATGGACAAGAGGAACGAACACAAATGCTGCTGCCATTTGCACTTTGCTCATGTGCTGGACGTGGGGCTTCACAAAGCATCGTCTTCCCTCTCTGCCCAAGATACTGATGTTTAGGCAGGGACTTGGCCTCAGGACCCCCGGGCCCTGGGGGATCCTGCCTGTGTGCCCACACAGCCTGCAGCGCAGCCCTGATTTCAGGTGTTGCTTTCCTGCGTGATTCTCACTGCCTGGGAGAAGCTCCAGTTATTGGAAGGAGAGGGGTGGAAGCACCTTCAGCTGAATTTCCCCATTTTCCACTCAGAATGGTGAGGGGAAATATTTTCTTTTGCTCACAATGCAGATTCCTCAAAGCTACTGCAGGGAGCAGGAAGGAGTGAAGGTTTTGGAAGAAAAGTTAAACTCCAGGAAAGCACATGAATCCTTCTCTGCCCACTCCCAACAGCCATGATTACCAGAGATGCATCAAATTCAGATTAAAAATATTCCCAGGGTAAAGACTCTCTCTCCAGCCCCAGGAAACTCCCCATCACTAATGCCAATGTTTCGTGTTTGCTATTGAAATTTTGCTCCTCTCCACCTGCCTGGGTTTGATGGCCAGCCCTCAGCCATCGCTACACTCCTGCCCAGTCGGCTGAAGAGTTTCACATCTCCCTCCCTGCAGACATTTACAGGCGCTGATTAAGCCTTCCCCACACACCAGCCAGCCAGAGCCCAAGCCTCGCTCCACAGCCTGTTCCCAGCTGCTGATCACAACCCAGGCTCTTCCCTGACACATCTCCAGCTTGCTCACGGCCTGGGCACGGTGGGAACTCTGGAGAGGACCACCAGGACCCTTGATGCTGCAGACAGCACCAGGTGAGCAGGACAACCCCCCCCGCAATGGGGGACACGTCTCTGCCGTGTTACATGCCAGGGTCTGCAGCTCAGCTGGGGATGGAGGCCGTGGCTCTCCGTCCACTCCTCCTGACTGGGGAGATCTGTCTGTTGGCTTATTTCAATTTGGTTAACGATGACTTTGTGCTGCTACTACTACTGTAATTAGGAGATTAGGCTGTTGCAAGCTGCTCTTGTCCAAACTCAAAACACTCCAACTTGGATGAAATTGAGGACAAGGTCTAAAACCCACACAGAACAGACCCGATCTCTAATTAACACAATTACACAGCCACAGCACTGGCCTCATTAAGGTATTAGTGTGGGGAAAGGTTAAACAGAGAAAGGTGTTTCCCTGGGGCAGGGGCCAGGGGATGCCCCTGGGGCACTGGGACACACAGGGCACTAGGACGCTCAGCCTTGCCGGCGTCCCAGCCCTGGAGGCCACACTCCTGTGGGAGCTGCAGAGCTGCGGCCGGCCGTATTGCCCACGGGCCGGCGGCTTGTGCATGGCTGGGGGACATGGCCCCACGCCGGCCCCTGCGGCAGAGCCCCTCTGGCCGCCGCACTGCGCCCCCCGACACGACCTAGATTCTCAGCTCGCCTCCGTGCCACGCGTCTGACAGCTTGGAGGAACAGATGGGCACGGCTGGGCCGCTGCGCCAGTGCGGCTTGATTTAATTAAAAACTGCCACGGCTGTAACCTGCTGGCCCTTGACAGAATAGGGGCAGAGCCGCTGCGGAAGCTGCCGTGGGGCCAGGAGAGGAGGGGCAGCAGGACCCCAGCAGCAGCAAGTCCCACCCCAGGGAGCTTCGCCCCCTCCTGCTCCAGCTGCAGGGACCGAGGCATCGCCACCCTCTGCAGCCTCGCTGCCGCCCTCGCAGGAAAGACCCCCTCTAGCAGGACAGGCGGTGGGGCACAAGGGGCGAAGCTGCCATCCCACGGCTGGGGACCGGGCACACGGAGGAGGAAGATGCCTCACGCACTGTGACCACTCCCAAATCCAGCAGCCCCAGCCCTGGGGACAGCCCCGCACATCCTCCCGGTCAGGTCCTGGCGGGTCCCAAGCAAGACGAAGGGCAGCCTAGGCCACCCTGCTCACGCATCACAATGGCCCTTCAACAGCATCGCTAAGGGTGCTGCTACCAGAAAGCAGGTCCCAGCCCTGGGGGGCCCTGGGCAGCACCCTGGGGGCTCAGAGGCACGAGGGGGCTCATAGTGAAAATGCTCTCGAAAGCTGGCTGCAGCAAAAGCTTTCAGGCCTTCCTGGCATGTCTGTCAGAGCAGCCCCGTGAGCATGGGGACAGGTGCCGGGCACTCAGGGAAGCATCCGCCCTCACCATGCCAGTGACTGTTGCCAGCGCGGAGCCGCTGCCACCTGACAGCCGGGGCTGGCACAGTCTCCTCAGCCCATCCGGCCACAGCTGCCCCCGGGGCCGCCCTGCCACCGCGGGCCAGGGGCTGCGCAGCCCGAGCTAACGGCTTCTGCTCTCACAGCGGGGTAAAGGATGCGAGCGCTCAGCCCCAGGGGTGCCAGCACTGCTCTGCAGGGCCGAGGTGAGGCAGGAGCCTGCAGCATTTGGATCCAGCCCTCCCTGCACCGTGCTGGGCTCAGGCGGGTGCAGCCAGCCCAGGACCCCCGCACGGCTCGCCTCTCCAGGAAGGGGAAGCAGATCCCTCAGAGATCTACAGCTCTCAGGGACCACCCAAGACTCACCGGCCACCCCAGGCCCCTGCAACCATCCTGCAAGAGGGTGAAAAGTTATTTTGCAGATGGCAAGCCAGCAGCAAGGTCTCCTAGCAGGCGGAGGACCCAGCTCTCCCTCCACAGGACTCTCCTGGAGGAGGCCGGACCTGCCACGGGCTCAGTTACTGCCTCAGACCCAGGACAGAGCGACCTCGAGCACCCCACTAAACACACAAAGGCTTTGCCAGGCCCCCTCTTTTTGGCTGCCGCTTGTGTTTTCTTCAGGTCCCAGTTGGCGCAGTACAATTAGAGAAGCACCGCACTCTAGAAAAATCATTAACAACTCTAGAACATTCGTTAATTAAACCTGTGCGCTTTTGCAGGGGGCTGTATTCATATTTTTGAGGGAAAAAATGATGTACATGTTTCTCCTGGCTCCCTGAACCCAGCAGCAGGACCTGCCAGTACACACGTTGCCTTCCAACACAGATCCCTCTCAGAGGTCTGCTGCTGCGTCCAGCCCTGGGACACGCCATGTACAGACACGCGGATCCTTGCAGCGCCGCACCTCTGGGGGCCTTTGCAACAAAACGCCACGACGTGTCCAGGAGCCGTTTCCCTGGAGCATCCTCGGGGAAGCAGCGGGCAAGTCCAGCAGTCTTCACGGTGCATCTGGAAGAGGCCCCGCTGCCCACACCAACCTCAGAGGGGCAGAGCATTCACCGGAGGCCTGGCAAAAGCTGGAGGCATTCCCAGTGGCAACCACAGTCAAGGCGGCAGGAGCCGGAGCTGCCAGGACCCTCTGCCCGACAATGCCCACCCTGCGCCCATCTGAGCCTGCCTCCAGGCTGCAAAAGCATTTCTGTTGGGGCACTAGCAGCCCCAGGGGAAAACACCCACTGCTCAAATCCCTCAAACGCCTCCAGTCTGCAGTCCAAAACCCAACTCTTGTCATTTTCCTCATTCTTTTCTATTTAGTCTAGTTTTGTCATCATAAAGATCCAATTTATCTCTGTTGACACAGACATTTTCTAAGGCGAGTTATCTCCTCTCCAAGGACTGTATTTTAATAATTCACTCAGCAGCCATGAACTGCAAAGTTCCATTTCCAGCTGCAGGCATCCTTCCCGTGCGGTGACACCAGAGCAGCCCGGCCAAGGTGGCAGTTTTGAACTCAGTGGATTGTGAACCTGGCCAAGCGCGCTCAGACATCTGCTGTGCGAGCTTGCTTGCAAGCTGATTTGAGCAGTGTGTGAATCCACAGTCTGGGATACCCAGAGCCCAACTTCCAGGCTCCTCCTCACCAGCAGCTGACTTGCTCCAGATTTTGTTAGAGGGGGAAAACCTGCTCCTGTTTCAGTGCATCTGTTCAATGCTACCCCATGCTCCGCTTCCTGCACGCCTGCCTGCGGAAACCAGTCTTGCCAGTGTGGTCCAGCCCTCAGAGGACGCATCCCTCTGGGAGACGCAGGGCAAGGGGCCCTCCTGCAACACCTCCAGGGCATGTCCAGTCCTGTGGCACTGAGACATCTCTCATGGCTGTGAGGCTTTGCCGAGCGCTGTCGCCAAGAGGCGGCTAGCAAGATGGGACAGCTCTGTGCCAGACAAGCAAGAGCAAGGCAGAGGAGGATATGGGCAGCAGGAGGTGAAGAGAGCAGATGGAAGGCCAGGCTGCAGGCTCAGATCCAAAGGTGGTGGTGGTAGGGATGCAAGAAACCAGGCTGATCTGGGAGAGCA